ATATAGTCATATAGTCTAAGGAGGTTGTATTCAATTGAGATTTTTAAGGACTTTTTAAAACTTTTTAAATTTGGTGACTTTTGTAGACTTTTAAAAACTTTCATGACTTTGGTAGACTTGTTGAGACTTTCAGAGAATTCTCATTAGTGACTTTTTAAGACTTTCATAATGAACTTTTTAAAACTTATTGAGACTTTTGTATACTTGTAGTTATAATATTATGTTTGGAAATGACACATTAATAAACGTATATAATAACTAATATCAAGAAAAAATAAATGAAAAAAAAATATTTTATATATTAATCATCTAAAAATTTATGAATCAACTCATTGTTATACGAAATGAGTTACTTACTAACAAATTGTTTAGGATTTTTAGATTTATTAAAAGAGCAAATCAATTCGAGTTTCAACGAGCCGAACTATGGAATATACACATTGTCGAAAAACAGTAATTGTATTTTATAAAGTAATAAATAATTTTCAAAATAATTCAATATCAACAAATAAATTATTAGAAAATAAAATAATTTTATTAATATTAAAAAATAAACATTAACAAATAAAAAGAGAGAACAAATAAATTATTTGCAAGTGCAAACTATGGAAGCATTTAACCTTTAGAAAATCAAATTCGCAAGATAACAAAACGAAAGAATAAATGTATACATACATAGAATAACCATAATAAAAAATATATAAAATAAAGATCACGTTAAATATAAGTAATGAAAATAAAAATTATACAAGGTATCAAAATAAATGATGAAAACAATAAAGAATGAAAGTGATATGAGATATAAAGTCGTGTTAGAAAGAAAAAAGAAAGGGAGCGTGAAGAGAATCACATAAGTCTAGCAAAATCTCACCAATATTGATGAGATTTCTGTTGGGACTCTCTCTTTGTAATTTTGAGAGAAAAGTCTCTAAAAGTCTCACAATTTAAAAAGTCTCACAAAGTCTTCATCTTTTGAATACAGGGTGACTTATAAAGACTCTCAAAAAGTTTTAATTGAATATCCTGATACTTTTAATGACTTTTTAAAAGTCTTTAAAAGTCTCAATTGAATACATGTAAAATTTTCAGAAGTCTCTAAAAATTCTAATTGAATACACCAGAATTCTGAAAGTCTTAAAAAGTCTCTAAAAGTTGAAATTGAATACACCCCCCTAAAACTTGTAATGATGCAAAGTCGAAAAAATGAAGAAAAAAAAGAGTCCAAAGTTAAGAGGAGAAAACTTCTAAATTATATATATATATATATATATATATTTCATTTATGAAATTGATCCTTTAAATCCTACTGTAATAATTGAGTGATGCTAACACCTAAATCATCGCATTATTTGACACTATTGGCAGTCTGTGTATGTGTATGCCACTTTATTATCAACTAGTGTATATCCCGTGCGATGCACGGAAGAGTTCATATTTTAAACATTTTTTAGACTTTATTTTAAATATAATTATTTATATTTTTCACATCTCGTCTATTATGAAAATAAAATAAATACGATCAATGAAAAATATATAATATTAAATATTTTTCTTTATACAATATTTTTTATTTAGGACGAGGTTGAAGTTATACTGCGAGTGTTCACACTAGGGGCGGTACCGTAATTACTTGGTTTGTTGCGTTCACACTTGAAGAGTTGGTTAATTACGGTACCGTCCCAACTCTTTAAGTGTGAACGCAACAAACCAAGTAATTACGGTACCGCCCCTAGTGTGAACACTTGCAGTATAACTTTCAACCTCGTCCTGCTTGAATTTGGACGAAATATTATTAAACCTTACGGTTTTGATTTGTTTTTTTAAATCAATAATAAAAAATATATGATTGTTAACGTACAAAAAATAATGGAAATAATCCAGACTTTAAAGTAAAGCTATTTTTTTATTATTTTACAAATAAAAATCTTCCAAATATTTTTTAATTTCAAAAAAAATTTGGCAAGTTTGATAATGAGTTAAATCAAGTTATACAAATGATTAAATAGTTAAAATATTATATTAATTATATTTCAAGAAATTCGATTATATAAAAATGGGTAAAAAAATATTATACTAATTAGTTTGTTAGGATTGTGATTATATGAAAGTTAAAATAAAATGAAATGTAACCAAAAAATTTGTTCGTGGTTTTTTCCTAAATGTTTGAATTTAAAAATCTAGTAACCAAATTTACATTATATCACGTAAGGAAAAAAATAAATAATAAATATTTATTAAAGAGATAAATCAATAATATTTATCACTTAGATAATAAATAATAAATATTTACATGTAAAAAAATAAATAATAATATATTTAAAAATATAAGTCAGAATTTCAAATAAAGTAAAAGGAGGGATAACTCATTTTTTAAAAAAAGTTTCTAAATATTTAATATATTGATAAGTATCTCCATAAGAATAATCATACCATTTTAATTTTAAAAAAATTGGCAAGTTTGTTAGAGAGATAAATCCGGTTAGACAAATGATTAATTTGTTAAGATATTATATTAATTGTATCATAAAAAATCGGTTAGATAATGTAGATAAAAAAATATAATACTAATTAGTTTGTTAGAAATGTGATAATGAAAACCAAGATAAAATGAAATTTACCCAAAAAAATTGTTTGGAATCTTTTCCATTAAATGTTTGAATTTACAAATTTAATACCGAAATTCTATTATATCATATAAGGAAAAAATAAATAATAAACGTTTATTAATATATTAAAATATGTAATTTTGAATTTCATATAAAGTAAAAGGTATGCTTATTCAAATTTATTTTTAAAATAAAAGTTATGATAAACATTTATTGATTCTCTTTCAAATATATTAATAAAATAAAAATATAAATCTAAACAAATTTTGAAACAACCAAAAAAATCGGATTGATTGGCATAAAAAAAGGAAGTGAAATCGGATTTGAATGCTAAAATCGGAACACCTTACCAAATTGAATGTTAAAAGATTCGATTTGATTGGTTACCT